GAGACTCAAACTCACCACCCCGAGATCAAGAGTCACACGCTCCACAGACTGAGCCAGCCAGGAGCCCCAGAGGAGTCTTTTAAAACATAAGTCAGATTGTCCCGCTCACCTGTTCAAAAATCTTTCAGTTCTTCCTTTGTAAACATTTACTGAGCACCTACTAAGTACCAGGCAGTGCTCTAGGTGCTGGGGATGCAGCATTGAATAAGACAAAGCCCAAGCCCTCACAGCTGGCATCTAATGGGGTCAGGCACAGAAAAAGCCAGTAAACAATCTGCACAAGATAATTTCAGAATGGGAAGCGAGCAGTGAGGGGAATAACTTGGATTATGTGATGATGGTGGCGCTCCTTAGCTAGGGACCCAGGGAAGGCATCCTGGGGGAGGTGGCATTTGCACTGTTTGGGGGAGGGGAGGAGGTGGTGGGAACAGCATTCCAGGGGGACACAACAGCAAGTGAGAGAGACTCTGATGGATCTGAACAGCCAGGTAGCCATGGTGGCTGGAGAGTGGGGTCCAGGAGCCAAGAGATTGGACAAGTTGAAAAAACCAAGACTGGAAGCCAGACCAGAGTGGACCCTCCTGGGCCTTGTCAGCACACTCCCAGGCAGTTGGCTTGAAGCCTTGCACATTCCCTTACAAATGCCCTCTCCCCCAACTCCCAGTTCACCATCCTAGCTTCCTGCCCAAATGCTGCAGCCAGGTGGGGCTATTAAATGGTTCCCCAGTGAGCTTTACTTCCTGTCAAGGTCACAAGCGCTCTCACTGTGCGCTCTTCCTGGAATGCCACCCCCCCACCCCCCCACCCCTGGTCTTCTTTGAAAACTGACTCAAAAGCCACCTCCACCCTGAAGCCTTTTCTCCAGGATAGCTCATAGTAATATTAGTAATGTTGCCTAATGTTTTTATTGTGTGCTATGAGCCAGACACTGTTTGGAGTGCTTTTCATTTACTGCCACATGAACTCCTCACAGCACCAGGAGAACAGAAAGGGGTAGGGATGGGAGGGTGGGGTACCAGAGGCTCCCCACCCCCCATTTTCCAGGTGCAGGAACTGAAGCCACAGAGCTTTAACAGACTATCTCTAGTCAACCGGGAGAATGATGTGGTTGAAGACTCCGACTCCAGAGTTGGGCGGGTCTGGATTCACATCCTGGCGCTCGTTTGGTTCCCAGTCCTAGTGGTTATTCTTTGTGTTGTTCCCCGGGATGGGAGAGGCTGTGAGGACAGGAGATGCGACGGGGTTGGGGAGATAAGCTCTCTTGACAGAGTTTGAGGATTAAGAGGGCAGAGGTGAGGGAACCCCCTACTGCCCCAACCTCCATAGGCAACACTTCCCACCAGTTCCAGCCACAGTGGGCTCAAGGGAGACTCTGCAAGCCTGCCCGGGACAGGACACCCCCAAACAAGGATTCTGGAGAGGGTCTGGCCTCCGACTGAGGAGTTCATCACCCATACTCAGCCAGGGCCCCAGCGAAGTTACTGTGTCCCCAGCACCAACCAGGAAGAGCCACAGGACCAGAAAAGCACAGACTTTTCCTCTAGCAAAGGGGCCCCCACCACTTCCCTAAGAACACTTAAAAAGCATATTGGAAAGATAGGTTTTCCTATTAAAACAGCAGCTGGGACCCAGGGCACACGCAGATGTTGTTTTTCCCAAACATGTGTCCTGGAGACAAGGCATCATATTATTCCAGACCACATGATATGAGTGGTAATTTTAGGCAGTGCATTAAATAGCACTGAACCACATGCTGAGAAAGTTGTACCCTTGTCCCATTTCTGACGTATTTTATTACCAAGGAGAGAGACTTACTCTTTCTTGCCCATACCATCTCTTTTTTTTTTTAAGATTGTATTTATTTGTATGACAGAGAGAGACACAGCGAGAGAGGGGACACAAGCAGGGGGAGTGGGAGAGAGAGAAGCAGGCTTCCCGCCGAGCAGGGAGCCC